GGACATGATAATGACGTGAATGAGGTTTAATGGATGTAATAATGACACGAATGAGATATAATGGATGTAATAATGACATGAATGATGCATAATGGATGTAATAATGACGTAAATAGGGTATAATGGATGTAATAATGATATGAATGAGGTAAAATGGATGTAATAATGACATGAATGGGGTATAATGGATGTAATAATGACAGAAATGAGGTATAATGGATGTAACAATGACATGAATGGGGTATGATAGATGTAGAAATGACATGAATGAGGTATAATATATGTAATATTGACATGAATGGGGTATAATGGATGTAAAAATGCCGTGAATGAGGTATCATTGATGTAATAATGACATGAATGAGGTATAATATATGTAATATTGACATGAATGAGGTATAATGGATGTAATAATGACGCAAATGAGATATCATTGATGTAATAATGACATGAATGAGGTATAGAGTATGTAATAATGACATGAAAGAGGTATAATGGATGCGATAATGACACGAATGAGGTATAATGGATGAAATAATGACACGAATGAGATATAGTGAATGAAATAATGACATGAATGAGCTATAATTGATGTAGAAATGACATGATTGAGGTAAAATGGATGTAATAATGACGTACATAGGGTATAATGGATGTAATAATGACATGAATGAGGTATAATGGATGTAATAATGACATGAATGAGGTATAATGGATGTAATAATGACGTAAATAGGGTATAATGGATGTAATAATGACATGAATGAGGTATAATGGATGTAATAATGACATGAATGAGGTATAATGGATGTAATTATGTCACGAATGAGGTATAATGGATGTAATAATGACGTGAATGCGGTATAATGGCACTAATTACACATTTACAATGTACCAGCATCGCACAGAGCACTATTTACACATATACAATGTATCAGAATCGCGCAGAGCACTATTTACCCGTATACACTGTATCCGCACCACACAGGGCACTATTTATATAGATATAATGTAACAGAACACGCAGGGCACTATTTACATGTATACACTGTATCAGCACCACACAGGGCACTATTTATATAGATATAATGTAACAGAACACGCAGGGCACTATTTACACGTATACACTGTATCAGCACCACACAGGGCACTATTTATATAGATATAATGTAACAGAACACGCAGGGCACTATTTACACATATACAGTGTATGAGAATCACACATGGCACCATTTACACATATGAAATGTATAAGCATTACACAGGGCACTAATTACACATATGCAATGTATCAGCATCACACAGGGCACTATTTAAACATGTACACTGTTTCAGCATCACAAAGGGCAACCTTTTACACATGTACAATGTATCAGTATCACAGAGGGCACTATTTACACATATACAATGTATCAGCATCACAGAGGGCACTATTTACACATATACACTATCAGTATCGCACAGGGCACTATTTACACATATAAAATGTATCAGAATCACGTAGGGCACTATTTACACTTATACACTGTATCAGCACCACGTATGGCACTATTTATATAGAGATAATGTATCAGCGTCACGCAGGGAACTATTTACACATATACAGTGTATCAGAATCACACATGGCACTATTTACAACGACTATGTCTGTACTGGAAATTGTCATCACTCAGCGGAACCCTTGTTAATTGAAGCTCACTCTACTTCAACCTAGTTTGTGACTACGTCAGACTGAATTCCAACATTTGCTTGCAGCTTGTGATGTCCAGATCCCGCTCGGATTCTCCTGTTCATCGGATTATGTCCAGCAGGAACAGTGTCTCTCCTGAACCAGTCGTGGAATCTGGAAAGCTTCACCCAGACAAGGTGGAAAATAATGAGTAAGTTGTCTCCCTTTCTTGATGTTGTCATTTGAATTCCAGAAATTACGTTTCATATTGAGGTATATGAAAATTGAGTTGAGTCGTCAGTATCCATAGAGAATCCGTTACAAATATTGTTCGATTTGTCAAATTTATCATTACCATTAAATTTATGTATTTTAATTGCGAATTTTGAAAAGTTAAGAAGAATGACTGATTGAGATTTGGGTTATCTTTAACAAAGTTCATCTTTCAAACCTGACCCAGTGGTGCCCGTAAAATCTTTGATCTTTTTAGGTTCAGGCTTGTTTTCTTTGCCTTTTATTGTTTCTTATAGTTGGTTATCGCCCTTCACCTGTCGCCGAGACTGTAATCTAGCCATGCCGTCAATGGTCAGTCAGAAACAAAACAATGGTAGTCATTGAATTGTCGCAAGAGTGGTTTTCACATGAAGCACATACGTTCATTGTTTTGTTCGTTGTTTAACGTCGCAATTCAAGGCAAATCAGTTATTAAGTCTTTGAATTTAGAAGTGATACGCATAAGAGAGAGAGAGAATTTATGCATGCAAACTTCTTTTTTATGAGGAACACAACATTTCGGAAAATATGCTTGCTCCTTCTTCGGGTGGATCACCTGATCATCATATACTCCCATGTCAACTTCACCCGATGAAGGAGTAAACATATACAGTACATGAACCACGAAACGTTGTGTTCCTCACAATAAAGAAGTTGACATCTATAAATTCTCTCTCTGAAATTAGTGACTGATATTATGTGGAACGTCCCTCGCTGCCGGGACACGATGACACGCAATCCTGTCACCGACCCTGACCAAAACATCCCTTTAAATTGCCTCATACTACAAGAATAGAACCTCTCATCCCTAATTCACATGCATTATACACATTAAACACCTCACTAATATGACAACTATATGCATTCGTTTGAATAGTCACTGCTTGTTTTTTCTGGTCATTTTAGTGAAGCAAGATATGGGACGTTTAAACTCTGTCTGACTGTCTTGTAGGATATCAAAGGATGGAGTTTTCTTCAAAAAGCTGATGTCAAACTTCAGAACGATATAACAAAACGTTTCGGGGTTCGACGTCTTAACCTAGTGACAATTTATATTGTAAATCGTGTTAACATAAGCGACAAAACTATTTTCATAATCATAAAATATCTCTGCTGGAAGCAGTGTACATTGTAGATTGGTTTGTTTGTTTGTTGTTTAAAGCCGCACTCAGCAATATTTCAGCTATATGACGGCGGTCTGTAAATAATCGGGTCGGTCGACCAGACAATCCAGTGATTGACACCATGAGCATCGATCCACGTAATTGGGATACGATGACAACCAAGTCAGCGAGCCTGACCACCCGTTCCGGTTGGCGTGTCTTACAACAAGCATAGTCGCATTTTACGGCAAGCATGGGTTGCTAAAGACCTATTCTACCCTGGATTTTTACGGGTGACATTGTACGAATCCGATTTTGCCATAAGCATGTGTTTATGAATCACCACCAAATACTGATGATACCTAGGTGATAGCTTACATGTATATGAAATAATACCCAATAGTTTACTATTTAGAGAAACACTTTTTTCATTTGAATTCAGTTCTCTGTTTAGTTTTGTATTGTTTGTTTAATTTGTCTATTTATCTGCATCTGTGTTTCTTATTATTATTTACATCAGGCCTGTGCCAACCCGACTGCCTCCATTGATGTCAAGGTTTTAGTTAATTTATTTGCGTTTTATAATCACCAAACCTCAGAACCTTTTTACACATGTGTGTGTGTGTGTGTGTGTGTGTGTGTGTGTGTGTGTGTGTGTGTGTGTGTGTGTGTGTGTGTGTGTGTGTGTTTGTGTGTTGCTTTTATAGTTCTAGCCCACTGAGACATAGTATACTTACTCCTAGCAGACCAGCCTTTTTGTCATCCCTCAATAACGAGCGTCAGGAAGGGTAGCAACAGGTACCCTCTTTTCACGTGTTTTGGTGTGACACGGCCGGGATCGGACCACTAACTTCCTGCTCTCCTGGCAGACGCCCAATCATCTAGGCCACGGAAGCGATGATTACATCACGAAAAATATAACCCTCAATGAATATTCATGTAGTGCTATACGTGTCTTCCATGATGCTTCTGTGGGCAAGTAGCTATTTATGTTATTTGTATAAGAGACACTTTGGCATAGATATCTCCAGTACGTGTTACTTATAATACTGAGGTAACGATGCATTACAAAATGTTATACGACAAACGAAACCAATAGGAAAATACACATGACTTCAGTTTAATATCACTGTGTATGCATACCTTCCATTCATATACCTTTCATTTTATATATACAATATTTTTTTCTGAGAAAATTTAACTCACACACACTTTCAGAAAACTTAGAAAATTGTTCGTTTTCTTATCACAAGTTGAGAAAATCATGTTGGGACAAAGTCACCTAAAATCGTCTATGGCGGCATGAACAATGGATGACGTCATATTCATTTATTTTCGACAATGCGATGCTATGACGTTACGTTTACCAATGGCCGTTTCGAAAACATTGACATTCGATAAACTTCAGGCCAAAATTATGATGCTCAAGGAGAATTACTGAAAATGATATCTTTGCCCCACTGCCCCAGAGTGAAGTCATTTTGTCTCGAGTGTAGACCATCACTGAGAATTAGGCATCAAAACAACGGTAGAGCATGTATTATTAAAACAGCTCGACCTGGCCTTGTAGAAAGTAGGCCTGCTACCTTCACACATTTGATTATCAGTATCAACTATCTCGAATGTTGTTTTCAATATTGATATTCTCATATAAACAAGAAACTGCCAAATTGGCCCATTGTGTCTCAGGGTCCTGCGGTCTCCATTGTGTCATAGCATAGGAGTGTCACGGTAGATACTTGGGGTATCCATCCGCAACATTGCTCGCATAAACATACCACCTTGAAACGTTTCACAACACAGGTTTTCCGTCGTTTATGTATATCTTAACCGCTTGACAATATATTCTAATGACTTCAACTGACTTTGTTTGATTCAAACTGCTTAAATAGCTTTTGCGGTTAAGCACTTATGTACTGTTATCTGTCTTCAGGAATTTGGATTCGTGAGACAAAATGTCTGACTCACTTGCTCTTGGTCAATTTAGACGATTGTCAGATAGTTCTGCCGACAAGGCTGTGATGGAAATGGCGAACCTGACCCCCAAAACAGGCGATGTCCCTGGATCAACCGTCCCATCCTCGGGTATGAAGCGCGCCGACAGTTCAGAGGCACTTAATCTTACCCTGCACCAAGTAAGTACACATTGTCGTCTGCAGGTCATTTTTCATGGGTTGATAAATTTGATATGTTTGACCACGCCTTTATTACTTTTGCCCCTTTTAGATTATCATCTAATACAACGTAGAGGTGGGTGACTTTTTTCAAAATATGAGGCATTTTGTAGAGGTATCAACTGGTCGTAAGATAACAATAGGTGATGAACATGTAAGGCGTTATAAAATATTTGTGATTTGTGATGAGAGCGTTTTGAACTCCAGAAACTGACATATTAAACAAATGAGGACATCCAGATAATTTTGAGAAAGTTATCGGTAATGTTCCTAAGTTTATGACACTAGCATCTTTTTATTCCATTTATTTAAGTTTCTAACTTAAAACATCACTAACCCGTGAAGATCCGGGTTAGAATAGGTCTTCAGCAACTCATGCTTGTGGTAAGAGGCGACTATGCTTGTGAGAGGCGACCTACGGGATCGTTAGGTCAGGCTCGCTGACTTGGTTGATGCATGTCATCGTATCCCAATTGCGTGGTAGCGTGATGGCGTGATGGCGATCACTTGATTGTCTGGTCCGGACACGATTATTTGCACGACCGCCGTCAGATAACTGGAATATTGCTGATCGCGGCGTTAATGGTGACACAGGTGGGCCACTGGGCAAAGGTACTACAGTTGGTTGTGGAGAGCTAGCCAGGATCCGGTGATTATGGGTTTAAATCTCAAACTCATCTCAGTAATGATGCTTGGTCTATCAGCATCATACCATAAGAGACAAAGGCTATCAATTTAGTACACACGCGTGATTTAACTGTGATCAGAGCTACCTTCGTAACCATTTTAACCCAGTAACCACCTACTTAAATCTTAAATCCAGTAAAGATCCGGGGTAGAATAGGTCTTCAGCAACCAATGCTTGCCGTAAAAGGCGACTATGCTTGTCGTAAGAGGCGACTAACGGGATCGGGTGATCAAGTCGCTGACTTGATTTAGGCATGTCATCGCATCCTAAATTCGCAGATCGATGCTTATGATGTCAATCACTGGATTGTCTGGTCCAGGCTCGATTATTTACAGACCGCCGTCATATAGCTAGAATATTGCTGAGTGCGGCGTTAAACAAAAAAACAACAACACACAAACAAAACTTAAATCTTAAAAATGATAGGCATTGATATTAATTTGAATAAACACAGTGAATTTGCATATTGTGTGAGCAGGGGCTCTTGTCATACTAATACTAACGGTTTTGCAATAGTTACATCCAAAAGGCCCTGATACATTGTACATGGTCCAATCGTCTATGCACTTCATTCTCTGAGAAATAATGACCAAGTCATGAAAACAAAGTACTCAACGCAATAGTTGCGAAATCTATAAGTAAGTATTAGTTAGTATAAGCAATGTGATTTCAAACATCTTCGTGAAAGTGAAAAAATGATCTGTATTCTGACCACCTGCGACGAAATAACACGAATACACGCATACTTAATTATTGTTGTCAGTGTAACCAGTATTATAACACTCATGTTGTTGAACTAAGCAAAATATTATGTTAACCACTTCCCTCCAGTGTGCCAGATATGGAGACGAGTCTAACATGCAGACTGCTCTGCAGGGCATCAGTGGCCTCCTCAAGAAGAAAGTGAATGCACTGGACCACAAATTCCTGACTCCCCTGCACTACGCAATTCGCTACAACCACTTCAGTGTGGTCAAGCTGCTGGTGGACGCTGGTGCAGGTATTGTTATAAGACTTGACTCCCCTGCACTACGCCGCTCTCTACAACCATCTCAGTGTGGTCAAGCTGCTGGTGGAGGCTGGCGCAGGTATTGTTATAAGACTTGACTCCACTGCACTACGCCGCTCGCTACAACCATCTCAGTGTGGTCAATTTGCTGGTGGAGGCTGGTGCAGGTATTGTTATAAGACTTGACTCCACTGCACTAAGCCGCTTGGTATAACCATATCAGTGTGGTCAAGCTGCTGGTGGAGGCTGGTGCAGGTATTGTTATAAGACTTGACTCCACTGCACTACGCCGCTCGCTACAACCATCTCAGTGTGGTCAAGCTGCTGGTGGAGGCTGGTGCAGGTATTGTTATAAGACTTGACTCCCCTGCACTACGCCGCTCGCTACAACCATCTCAGTGTGGTCAAGCAGCTGGTGGAGGCTGGTGCAGGTATTGTTATAAGACTTGACTCTGCTGCACGACGCCGCTCGCTATAAAGATGTCTCAAACTGTTTTGTTAACCCAGATTTGGTGAAAAGTGATACACCCATGTTCATAATGCCACACCTTTTTTATTTCTTGGTTATGGGATCTTTTGTGTGAAGAATCATTTTCTGTAGATGGCAAATGCAATAACAATAAATATATTTCAGATGATTTATCCTTCTTCAAAAAGATGCTAAATATGTTGCCCATCTACTTGCAGCTTAACCTGCTGCATGCATTAATTTATTAAAGTAAACGTGCCTTCATTACAAAAAGTACTTCTCTTATTTTAATTTTTATTATTTTATGTTTTAGTGTCAGTGGAATCTGTAAGCAATTTTTTAAAATTGATTTTAAAGAAATCCTTGTCTGATGGTGATGAGATTTCACTGTATATTGCTAATTAACACATTTTTTTCTCCAGTAATCAAATGGCTACATGCATTGTTTATGCTATGCTGTATCATTTGGTCCCCAGTAAAACAATGGTCCCGCAATCATGTGGCAGGTTATCCCAATAGGACAAGGAATGACAAAGCTCACAGGATCTGCATGATGAAATGACGTAACGTTTTAGAAATCGTGTTCATGAGACTGAGAACTTGACCATGATAATTGTAAACGAAGATGAAATGATAGGTTAGGCAAAAATGCATGACACAGAAGTTTTCAGGAAGTGTTCTTGTAATATCTGAACATGAGCAAGTCTTTGACCCAAGCTGATTTGCATTTTCTCTTGAAGGTGCTGTTTGCATTCACTGTAGCCATTCCTAGCTTCATGTATGTACTAGCTTATGACAAAAGATAATACCCTCAAGCATGAGAGAGAGAAAAAATCTAACTGCAAACCACTTAAACATGTCTGATAATTTTCTTCCCTCATATATCTCAGAGTTTTACTCCAATTTGACCTATCTATTGGGCTAATGTCCATTTATCCCACCTCGAGCTAGCCCTCTACACATGCCAGCAGCAATATAGCTGTAAAGTTGTCTGTGATAATGGATATTGATGGAATAGGTTCTCCGCCGGGTCTTCATGCAGATCACACTGTCAAAGGCAGTGAATATAATATGTAGAAGGGCAGATGTTTTCTTTTGTTATCTGTTGTTTAACGCCGCACTCAGCAATAATCCAGCTATGTGACGGCGGTCTGTAAATAATCGAATCTGTGCCAGACAATCCGGTGATTGAAATCATGAGCATCGATCCAGGCAATTGGGATACGATGACATGCATCAACCAAGTCAGCGAGCCTGACCTAACGATACCCTTAGTCGCCTTTTACGACAAGCACAGCCGCCTTTTACGGCAAGCATGGGTTACTGAAAACCTATTCTACCCGCATCTTCACGGGTCGATTAGGTCAGACGAGACACACTACTTAGGTTAGAGTACTCTGTTGACTAACTTGATTTGTCAGACCCCAACATGAGAGGTAACGAAGACATCACCCCCCTCCACACCGCAGCCCAATACCACAAGGGAAAGATCAAGAGGAAGGAGACGAACAGCTCTGAAGAAGGGGAGTCAGGTGAAGGAAATGTGAGTGCTGTCCTCTTATGTATAATATGCGATCTACCTAGGTCAAGATTTTCACCTAAAATAAGATACCAATAATATGTAATGTTCACAATACTGATATAATGTGTATGTGTATAAATGTACAGAAATGCATGAACAACTCCAATAACACACAGGGCTAACAGAACATACCAGCAGATAATTTCACTAGTTAAACATTCTTGTCCACGTGTACATTACACACTCCTTCAACAGAACCGCATTTTACAATACAACAAATACCCAAGTCGTAAAATAGAAGTTCAGATATTACTGCAGGAAGTAATATCACAAGGATCTTGTGTACAGTACACTTGAATTGTATTGAGCATGTTCAGATGATTTGTATGGGTTGGTTGGTTTGTTGCATCAACCAAGTCAGCGAGCCTGACCACCCGATCCCGTTAGTCGCATTTTACGACAGGCATAGTCATATTTTAAAGCAAGCATGGGTTGCTGAAGACCTATTCTACCCCAGATCTTCACGGATACAGATGATTTGAGGTAATGCCACCGTATCTGTACATCCGCATTTGTTAATAGTTCAGTTTGTGAATTATTAACCGGCTCGCTGACTTGGTTGATGCATGTCATCGATCCCAATTGCGTGGATCGATGCTCATGATGTCGATCACTGGATTGCCTGGTTCAGACTCGATTATTTACAGACCGCCGTCATATAGCTGGAATATTGCTGACAAACAGAAACAGAAATTATCAATCAACTTGGGTAGTTGTTGATTTCCTTTTGAACTCTAAGTTAGCTAAAATGTGTTCAGATGTGAAAATTTACACTTGCGACGAGAATGAAACACTATCAACACAGCATTTTTTCCAAAATTTTATAATTCTCTTAGATGAATTTGTTCTGGGTATTATGCATGGTTGGGGTAAGCTGTGTCAGGTGCTTTGTCATATCATTCATTCATCTGCATCGTCAATATACTTATACTTAGAGGGGTGTGACTATTACGTTCCTCCATCATCCGTGATTACATAGAGCCGATAAGTGGTCAAGTAGTCACGGGTGTCCATCCATGATTACATAGAGCCGATAAGTGGTCAAGTAGTCACGGGTGTCCATCCATGATTACATAGAGCCGATAAGTGGTCAAGTAGTCACGGGTGTCCACCCATGAGTATATAGAGCCGATAAGTGGTCAAGTAGTCACGGGTGTCCACCCATGAGTACATAGAGCCGATAAGTGGTCAAGTAGTCACGGGTGTCCATCCATGATTACATAGAGCCGATAAGTGGTCAAGTAGTCACGGGTGTCCATCCATGATTACATAGAGCCGATAAGTGGTCAAGTAGTCACGGGTGTCCACCCATGAGTATATAGAGCCGATAAGTGGTCAAGTAGTCACGGGTGTCCACCCATGAGTACATAGAGCCGATAAGTGGTCAAGTAGTCACGGGTGTCCATCCATGATTACATAGAGCCGATAAGTGGTCAAGTAGTCACGGGTGTCCACCCATGAGTACATAGAGCCGATAAGTTGTCAAGTAGTCACGGGTGTCCATCCATGATTACATAGAGCCGATAAGTGGTCAAGTAGTCACGGGTGTCCATCCATGATTACATAGAGCCGATAAGTGGTCAAGTAGTCACGGGTGTCCATCCATGATTACATAGAGCCGATAAGTGGTCAAGTAGTCACGGGTGTCCACCCATGAGTATATAGAGCCGATAAGTGGTCAAGTAGTCACGGGTGTCCATCCATGAGTACATAGAGCCGATAAGTGGTCAAGTAGTCACGGGTGTCCATCCATGATTACATAGAGCCGATAAGTGGTCAAGTAGTCACGGGTGTCCATCCATGATTACATAGAGCCGATAAGTGGTCAAGTAGTCACGGGTGTCCACCCATGAGTATATAGAGCCGATAAGTGGTCAAGTAGTCACGGGTGTCCACCCATGAGTACATAGAGCCGATAAGTGGTCAAGTAGTCACGGGTGTCCATCCATGATTACATAGAGCCGATAAGTGGTCAAGTAGTCACGGGTGTCCACCCATGAGTACATAGAGCCGATAAGTTGTCAAGTAGTCACGGGTGTCCATCCATGATTACATAGAGCCGATAAGTGGTCAAGTAGTCACGGGTGTCCACCCATGAGTACATAGAGCCGATAAGTGGTCAAGTAGTCACGGGTGTCCATCCATGATTACATAGAGCCGATAAGTGGTCAATTAGTCACGGGTGTCCACCCATGAGTACATAGAGCCGATAAGTGGTCAAGTAGTAACGGGTGTCCACCCATGAGTACATAGAGCCGATAAGTGGTCAAGTAGTCACGGGTGTCCACCCATGAGTACATAGAGCCGATAAGTGGTCAAGTAGTCACGGACCGCCTCCGTGGTCTAGTGGTAGAGCGTCCGCCCGGAGAGCGGAAGGTCCGGGGTTCGATCCCCGGCCGCGTCATACCAAAAGACGTTAAAAGATGGTACTTGTTGTTACCCTGTCTGGCGCTCGACAACAAGGACTGGTCGGCTTGGAGTCAGTATACTGTGTCTGAGTGGGGTATTCATGTTAAACTGCGGCATGGTATCTCAGTGAGCTAGCACTATAAATCGGCATCAGTCCGGACTAGTACCAGCAGCCCCACAAACACATACACGTTCATGCACGTCGCTATATAAGTGCAATAATCTTCGACGCGACGTTAAACCCCATTTCACCTCACCTCAAGTAGTCACGGGTGTCCATCCATGATGACATAGAGCCGATAAGTGGTCAAGTAGTCACGGGTGTCCATCCATGATTACATGGAGCCGATAAGTGGTCAAGTAGTCACGGGTGTCCACCCGTGATTACATTGAGCCGATAAGTGGTCAAGTAGTCACGGGTGTCCATTGTTACTCAAGTAATGGAATGAGGCCGATTACATCTCTCGGTAGTCAAATGTCCTGCATTTTGTGTAAATTCTACATTGTTTGATATTGAAGTAATGTGTAGATGACAGCAAGGATGTTGCACATGTTACAAGAGAGATATTGCCGCTTTTGCGATGAAATCTGAGCGCACATTCATCTCAGCACTCACTGGCTTCCCTCTCGCTGAAACCAGGCCATGGCTTCATTTGTAAGTTAAATTAGCGGGTCGGTAAGGGATCGCATGCATTCACGGTAGATGTAGCGTGTACAAATAAAAGCGACAAAACCCTTTCCATAATCAAAAGAACTAAACATATTTTGACATCTCCTCTGAAACCAAGTTGACATTTTGCATTGATGATCAAATCAATGGTTTCAATAATATTCTTCAAAGAATTTTGATTCAACATGTACAAAAGCATGTCTATATGCTTACATACACATTTGTCTTTGGCTGTTGCCAGATTACAGCCACTGGCCTCCTTCAATCCGTGAATAACTCTGGAGACAGCTGTGTATCGTTCCTGATCAAGAATGGTGCCAAAGTCGATGTCAGGGACATCTATGGACAGACACCTCTACATCTTGCTGCCATGAGCGGGAATGAAATTGCTGTCAGATATCTGCTGAGCCTTGCAGGAAATCAAGTTCATGTGAGTGGCTAATACACATTCAGTTGACTTTTCCGAAACATGGTTATCTCAAAAGGTTGGAAATGGCAATCATCAGCACCTGAATATTTAAGTATCAATGCTGACAGAAGCTAATGATAAATGCATGTCATTCTTGACATTTTACAGTGTTGACTACTTACGAAGGTGAGCTACAGAGTCGAGGCACTATTTATTAATTCAGGAAAAGTGTATGGTAGTCGTGAAATCATTACACAATTTTACAGTTGCTGTTGTGACATTGGTATTATTTCACATTTGTATATGTGGTTGGCAGGCTGAAGACAAGCAGCTTTTCACAGCCCTCCACGTGGCAGCCATACACAGCCAGGAGGGCGTGGCAGTCATGTTGATCGAGGCGGGTGCCAACCTGCGATGCATAGACATGAAGATGTCCACACCGCTGCATCATGCGTGTTCAACGGGAAACGTCTCCTTTGCGCAGATGTTGTTTGATGTTGGAGCGCGTGATGCGGGTGGCTGGGTGACGCTTACAAGTGTGAGTGACTCTCACCAAGGCCATGCTCAGAATCGGAAATACTGCAGTCACTCCAGTATGAGTACTTAAAAAATACAAACTCTACAAACACTATACTCTAAAGAACTTTAGCTTAAACTATGTCAGATCATACTTTTGATGCACGGTAGGCACATATCTAAATCTCATTATTCATGGGAATCTAATCTTGTAACCCCAGTTCTTAATTTTGCAAACTGCAACAAGACAAACTTCCCCATATTTTATGGTTATTCTAAACTAATACCCAAATCACAAAGTAAATGTAATCGGTCAGTGAAATAAAGTTTGTTATTTAAGAATCAAAGGACATATGTATGTCACACACAATATGTCACTGTTCGTAACACTTATCTCTAGTTGTAATTTTCCCTAGTGGATTAGCTCATAAAACATTGATTATATAAAATGCTGCCTTTTATGTGTCTTGGATTTCTTTAAAAGTGACTTTAGAACTGAAACATGAAACATTTATATTATTACATACTGTGTTCCTCATGTAGATGGTGACAGATACAGACGTGGAAATGAACACGTGCCTCCATCTGGCGGTAGACAACGGACATTATGATGTGGCCAAACTCTGCTTAAAGAAAGGTGGGTCAACTTAAGTATGCATTGAAAACATCTGTAGTTTGAAATCTATCCCCGGATGCGTCTTTGAATGTCCGATTGTATGCATTTGTAACCCGATGGCGTGGATCGTGGCTTATGTTTACTGCCACTGGTGTGCCTGGTCCAGACTTGATTATTGCCGACTGTCGTGATATTGCGGAAATAATGCTGGCGTGTTAAACAACATACACTCACTCCTGATATTTTGGAAAACAACTTTGTTATTATTTATGTAAATTTAAGAAGAAATTCAATGCAAGAAATAGTTTGGAAAATTGTGTGGTCTGTGATGGGCCTCAATTCCCACATGAACAAGGCGTCACTGAGTCTTCTGATGTTCTGCAGGTGCTTATGTGAATAAACCCCGGAAACACGACATTCATCCTCTCCATCTGGCCGCCATGTCAGGAGACATCCGGAATGTCAAGCTGCTGGTGGAACACAAGGCCCGTATTGATGTGTTGAATTACGAACAGGCAACTCCATTACACAAAGCAGTTGTGTTCAGTCGTCTGGATGTTGTGAAGTATCTTGTTGATCAGTAAGCCATCTTGATTCTTTTGTTGGAATGACATTATCCACCACAGTTCTTTGAAACAAGTGAGCATCTTATAATTATAAACACATACGATATAACAATGTATTTGCTTGTTGTTTAACGTCGCATTCAGAAATATTTCAGCTATATCACGGCGGTTTGTGAATAATCGAATCTGGAACAGACAATCCAGTGATTAACATCAATGGCATCGATCTGCGAATTTAGGATACGATGACATACAATCTACCAAGTCCACGAGTCTTAGTCGCCTCTTAGGACAAGCATACGTTGCTAGGGACCTATATTCTAACCGGAGTGTAAGACACCTGGACATTGTATGAACAGGTCATCAAAGCAAGTGACCATTACAACTTAAGATAAATCAAAATACCAATAAACATTAACCAACTTCTTTAAACTATTTAGGTAAGACTTAAACGTCCACTTTGATTTGTTATTGTGAAACCGGCAAAAAATAGTAACCACCACTTTGAATTGGTCTTTGTGAATTGTAACAAGCATCGTGCTATTGGCATAGTGTAGTTTTTAATAGTTAAAGGGCAACCAACAAAATTACAATATTTGAGAAAAAGAAATATTATTGATTATTGGTTTGTTTGTTTGTTTGTTGTTTTACGACGTACTAAGCAATATTCCAGCTATATGACGGCGGTCTGTAAATAATCGAGTCTGGACCAGACAATCCAGTGATTAATATCATGAGCATCGATCCACGCAATTTGGATCGATGACATGCCTCAACCAAGTCACCGAGTCTGACCACCCGATCCCGTTAGTCGCCTTTTACGACAAGCATAGTCGCCTTTTACGGCAAGCATGGGTTGCTGAAGACCTATTCTACTTGTTGATTATTAGACAACTAGACCCTAAGCAACATCTCCCATCAAGGCTTCGTCAGACCATTTCTTTCCTACTTCACAACACAAGCTTCTTCAAATCTACATAACTGCTCTGTCAATAATATTGAAAGTAGTGCCGGTTGCTGGTATTGTGCTGGTAAACACGTTAAACAAGCTATGCTTCCGTGGTTACAGCGGTGCAAAGATTAATCGACGTGACAAAGACAACTACACCCCCCTTCTGCTGGCTGTGAAATACGGTCACGTCGAGACTGTGGAGCTCTTGTTACAGAAAGGTGCAGATTACACTGCTGTCGACAAGAACGACAAAACCGTCATCTTCCTGGCAGCGGAAGAAAACAAAGCTCCAGTGCTGAGGGTTAGTTATGATTTTTCTTCTGGAATCGAAATTCATAAACACCCATTCCCCTTATTAGAATTCTTCTCAGAAATCTGAAGAATGTAACGACAGCTTTTTGTTTTATCTACATCGATAAATTAAAAGCATTGACTGTTATTACTTCATTATGTAGTGGACATAAGAAAACACATATGGTATTGCTTTGTCAGGATTTAGATGTTCCTCTCATGATCTCTCAAACGAGAGTGGGCGATATACTAAAGTTCTGAGAGAACAGAACGATAATGCAAGTTTTGCGATATCCTAGCTATCGAGGATGAATATCACTTTTTACTTGTACACATTAAGGAGAAAACATATACCTGCGTATTACATTTAGCCAAATATCATAAAAATCCTATCTTTGTTCAAGAGTAAAGATAAGTTAATTATACAGAACATGTCAATATTCATATAAAGTTGTTGTACAGAAACATATTTGTAAATATTGGTTAAAATATTTTTTACGCCTCTGGTACACCTATAGGGTATTAGAGGTGTACAATCTGCAGTTGAAAATAAATTGTTTTCTAGAAACTGTTGTCTTACCCAAACGTGAAGCGGATGATCCATGGAAATGAAAGCTATGTCACCAATCCTGTGCATGTTGCAGCTCAGGAAGGTTACAGCGAGATCCTAGTGGTAAGATAGGCTTCCATCCTTCATCTCAGAGATTAGCAATTCGTCATAAAATATAAATTAACATGTGGTAGGTTTTCTTTACATTGAGGTATGATTGCATTGTTAAAATCTTAAAGGCCCCATGTTTTATCATAGAGAGATAAACTGAAGTATACTTGCAGTGTAAAATGTAAACAAGTTTTTATCATAGAAAAATAATTGTGAAGTAGTTTTTATTACAGAGATAATTTAAAGGGTATTTGATTGGTAAAAGCACTATTTGTAATATATTTGTATATAATATAGAAAGAAAGGAAATATATTTTTATTAAGAAAAAAATATGTGCTGTATGTTGTCTTCATGAAAAGATAAACAAAGTACACTAATGTGAATGAAAAACACATAAAATGATGGTTTAAACTTCCCCCAAAGCAGCCATACAAATAATGCAAAGTTGAATGCTGGGGTGATAGAGCATTGAGCAGTTCTTTGGAACCGGTTGTCCAGTTGTATGTCGTAAACACATGAGAAGGAAGGGACGTAAGTCCAATGTCATGTTGGTTTCTTACCAGATCGCCGCTATTATATTCAACTGCGACTTCGAATTCTTTGTGTAGTTTGTTGCTTTCTCAGTATGTGTACCCCAGAAAAATTGTTGGGGTGTGTGTTTCCTTGAACTCTTTTCCGAGAAACATTTCAGCTCATCCTTATTTTCTAGACATTACTTGAGAATGGAGCTCTTCTCGGCAGCAGGAATGAAGACCAACAGACACCATTACACCTCGCTGCCAAGTGTGGCAGGATAAGGTAACTACTTTTGCAGGAAGTAATGTTGCATATATACAGCGTACAGACTCTTAACCCATTGGGGCCACAATGCCAGTGGTTTAAACCGAGCCTTTCACGCCCATGACATCAGAAACATCTCTGTATTCCCTTTTAGTCCCTCAGTTTAGCGATTACATGATGAGACAAGAGGAAAACTAGAGGTGAACATTACATAAATGGATCACTGAAAATGACACCAGATGTTCGCGAAACACCTTTGACTGTTACCTTTTCGACTTCAGTGAAACAGTTCTAATCAGGCTGGAACTGTACCTTCAGTACTCGTGATGGTTATGTGTACAAGTGTTCACGAATAAAAAAGGAACCTAGAAACGTGGTCGAAAATCTAAGATACTAAGTCAATGTGTTGATTAATCAAGAAACTGTTTCTTGGTCTTTCAGCATTGTGAGAGAGTTGGTGAAGCGTGACAAGTCGTCAGTCAATGACAGGGATGCGATCTCCAACACTCCCCTACATCTGGCAGCCATGCAGGGGCATGACAAGGCAGTGACACTACTCCTGGAGTTAGGAGCAGATGTTACCATGTATGTGGTTTGTGTTGTTATAGGTCAGGGAGGACAGACGTGTTAATTAGCAGTATTTCTTTTAAAATCTAATTGACCATTTTGATAAAAAGCTTGGCAAATATATTTGTTCTATATTTGCCTGATTAACATTCAAAGGGAAGGGGACAAAATAGACGACATTAAAAATGTCATGATGATCAATTATAGGTCTATTTCTTTAAAAAGCTCATGAAATCGACACTTGAAGGGCACTGATCTCGGATCAAAGAGTTTGAATTTAACAGAAAAAAACTTATTTGTTTTTAATGACTCATCTCCATAAAGAGTTGTTACTTTATAGCTTATATAAATAAATTATGTTCATATAGCATGCCTATTTCTGACAGCCCTCTTTTTCAGTTATCAGAGCAATATTTGACTCATTTCTTATGTCAGTTCTCTGAGGCAGTATCTAACACACTTCTGCAAGATTTGAGAAGCAATATAGAACAAACCTCGTCTTCCTATTGTCAGAACCTATTTTTCACAAAAGTCTACCTCTTGTCTGTCCTCAATACCTATTACTGAACTGTTTTCTGAGAAACTATTTTGTGAACCCCTTTCTGAGAAACTTTTTTGATGAACCCCTTTCTCAGAAATCTCTTTGAGAGAAACTCATTCTCACATACTTCCTTCTTTGGTTTCTAGGAAGAGACTTTATGATGAGTCGACCCCCCTGCATCTGGCAGCATCCAAAGGATGTTTGAAGGCATGCCGAATCCTACTGGAACATGATGCACCCATTCACAACATAGATATGAATAAGGTCAGCTTCAAATAGCCGTCAACTGTACAAGAGACCAGGTCGACCATCGACATGTACAGTTGGGGGATATTATTTGCTTTTAATTACTTTTCTGTCGAGAGTGTGGCAGTGCAGTATTGGCGCGCACAGGGATATACTGCGAAAATGGATATAACATAGTTTAGATTCCAAGTTAAGGATGTAATCAATGAATCAGTTTCAAGAAATGATTTTGTAAGCATTGCCATCAAAGTGGAGAACACTGCCTCAGTCGTAAGAAATGCCTAACATGATCGTAGATGAAGTACCAACATGTTCCAAGCATTGTTGCTTATAGGGTATTAAAGTGACACATTCACTGTTATAGACATCAAATAGAAAACAAACATAGGTATACTATTGCGGATGCCATTTATGGTGTGCCTGCCGGCATATGCCAGCACTCAATCACTCTGCACATTTACTGCAGACCACTCCACTTCATCTTGCAAGTCGCAATGGTCACGCCGCGGTAGTAAGCCTCCTCCTTAAATGGGGTGCAAATGTCACGTTGCCGGACTCCGAGGGTCTAAACAGTCTTAGTATCGCCATTGAAAACCACAACAAGTGAGTTCAAGTTATTTAATTTTGAAGGTTTTGTTTTATCACGATTATCAAAATAAAAATAAATTTTCATGCCAACCATAACATAAAACATAATTATTGTGACAGTAACTCACATTGTTATAAATTGTTAATACGTAGATAATATTGTCACATGCAATATGGTAACCTATTCTTAGTGAAATCTTGAATAACTAAGCCAATTAATAGAAAGACATGTGTATAGTTTCCTTTCCCCGGCAGATAATTTAGTTGTTAATGTCATAACATTTCTTCCATGATTCGTTAGCCTTCGGTGGGGACTTCCCAGGTCCGAATCCTGCTGGCGACACACGTTTTTCGTGAATTGTTCTATCATCAAGGGAAATGATAGGGGGAAAAAAGAAGTTCCGTCATTGCCACATGGTGCTTAAATAACAACTGAATTAGTTAATGTCCGGTCAAAGACAAAGGAGGCATGGTATAACAATGCTTAACGATGCAGTGATGCAATGAACGGTCGGTGAATAGTTACAGCCCTCACTAACGTCAAGTTCACTGATATGTGTTCATGTGTTTTCATGACAGTGATGTTGCCATGGTGATTATCAACTCTGAAGTTTGGAAGGATGCGTTGCGACACTCATCACTGAACCTGAACACAGGACATCTAGACACACCGATGAGGAAGCTCATCAGGAAGATGCCAGGTTCGACTCTATCAGCTGATCATTAAAGCAGTCTCCTACATTGTCGTACCCAATATTCAATCACCAGAATAATAGATCCTGTTACAAATGCTAGGTAGTGGCGGACTGACTTGTTCAATGACCTTTGGTTCATGTCGATGAGATTGGTTATAAGGTTTCATCTTTGAACCTCATTTTTCAGTTGTATATTTGATCACAAAATAAAGGGTCGGCTTTAATTCACCAAAGCAGGTTTGTGGCGTGGTGTTAGTGGGGTCTATCTCTCAACTGTTACGTGCTGATTCCCAAATCGAAACACGAAGGTTAACCAAGAAATCAGTATCTACAGAACTAAATCAGTAAATAGACACACAAGATCAATGAACAATCCACGAATTAAAATACACAGGAATAGGTTTACAATCAGAAAAGGCAATACAATGGGTCAAAAACAAAAAAATGCAGCTGCAGCAATTAAAAATATGCCCTACTACACAAGACAGTGCACTCACGAATGTCCAAAATTTGTCACAGTTGAATGTCTTGAATGAAGCATGTGCTCCGAAGCAGGCAGAACAGTCGGAGTGTCCCGATAGGTATCCCATCCGTACAGGGCAAGTAGATAAGTCCAAGGTTGTGGAATGAAGGCCTCGAATCGCCCTCGTCTCGCACTTTTAGATAAAAATGCCGCCTTGAATCGTATGCATTCACAGTCGAGCTCTCTATTCCGGGAGGTTAACAAAGGTGTCACGTACTTGGACGGAGTTTTTACTGTACACAACCAAGAGAGGTCACTCTAAATCAAGTTCACTACCATAACTCAACATTGTACGAGCGCCTCAATCAATTTGCTGCCACTTACAGTAATCGGAAATATAGTTACAAAATACACTGCAACATAGCACTATCCAGAGATGTATCATTTTATTAGTGTCTATACGGGTTAATCAGCAATTATTTCTCATTAACCAGATGTGGCAAAGCGAGTGTTTGATCGCTGCCTGAGCTATGGAGCTCAGAAGAACCCAGAGCGACCCGGCTATGAAATCACGTTCAACTATGAGTTCCTGGATGATGTATATGCAAATTGGCTGGCCTCAAAACCAGAGACCTCAAGTGAAACTGGATCAAATTCAGGTGTGTTACGTCTCTTAAATCACTGTGTGCCGATGAAAAATTAGACATAACATTTTGCAGCTATCGTATGTTAGTCATACGGAGTGTAACCAAACTTCACAGTCAGTCAAATATGGCAACTGTACATGCTATTCAGAAAGATCCCAAACGACATGTTGACTATTTTTGGTTTTGCTATGCCTGTTAAGACAAACCTAGCAGATAGCGTGACCATGAGAGTGGTACGAATCACAAATAATCACCACCTTGTCATCAGGAGGCACAATGTTCCTGTCTACCCACTTTCACAACACGTTAAGACAAGCTGTTCATTTACTTTACATCGATGCTAGAAATATCATTGGAGGAGTTACACCTTGCGTAGATCGAGTAAGATCATCCGCAAGTGTCGGAGGGGGAGGCTCTGGCTCAGTCGGATTCCTCAGTTGTGTCGTAGACGTATAATGAGGCACATTGAGGGCACTTTGGGTCCTCAGCCTTTATCTTGGTCAACTGAAGTTCGCCTACCTGTTGAGTCGCGATAAAAGCCTGGAGGAATCCTTTATTCTCCAAGCCCAACAGCTCTGGGTTCCTGTATACAGGGCCTACTTTAATTCTGTGTGCCATCTTTCCCTTACCGACTCACAGGCGCCCGAGGATTGGCCTGGGTTTCAGTATGTGAGCCAGGTGGTTGGTAACTTCCCTTTCCCAAAACAATCCCCTTGAATCTTGCCACCAAGCAAACCAGAGCCTGGGACGGATGCAAGTCTGATTTCGATGAAACGGCCATGCCGTTAGAGGGGTGGCGACCTCTACAGCTTTCACTGCAAAGCTGCTAATCTAAAAGGTCTGCTCTTTAGCTGTTTGGCGCCATTCGAGTTCCTTTATCAGGCACTTCACGCGCACTCTGTTGAGCGTGCTCACTTTGGCTGAGTGGTCCTCCATCGAGACAGTGCTGCATCGGGTTTCTTTTGCTTACATACCCTTGATTCATTAACCCACATTTCATGTGTTGTTTGTCCTGACACACAAGTACCCAAATACAAAAGTCCACTACAGTGCACTGAAGCTGGTTAACAGGTAAAGATTTCAAATTCCGTCCATCCCCTCATTTGTAATGGACTGAGCTATCCGGGAATATTGGTGCAGACAACACGTGTTTCAAAGTTGGGAGCCAAGTTTATTTTGTCTTCCTTACAATAGTAACTCTATGATCCAAACTGGTTCATGGTTCGCTCATTGTAACAAGGACATCACACAGCTCATTGAATAGATAAGGCATGCCCCACCACCATCAGAGAAGACTCTATGGGAATCAGGGGATTATACAATGAGCGATGAAAAATATATGCAAAAATTACATTGAAAATTCAACAGTAATTGGGGATAATTCTCCTCTGGGATGTGGCCCGCCCAGCCTCCTCTCATACCATGTCTTGAGTACCTCACAAGGTTTACATTTGAATGGGTAGGAGAAACTATTTGACTTTCGGATGTGCTGCCGCAGTTGGCGTGGTACCTGCAATGATGCTGGAAGTAGGTCAGTGCACGAGCAGGGATATTCGATGATATTGACACTTTGTTGTTGTTTTTCTTAATCTTTTCATAAATATCACTATTTATGCAGGTCTGTCACAGTATAGAATATAAGAAGTTTAATTCAAAGAGTCACCCCAGAGAAGAATTTCTAATTAATCACTGCGGATTTTTCAAAATTTGGTATACATTTGGAACAGACGTAAAGATAATGTAACATTAATACAGACACAAAGGCAGGTTAACATGTAATGCAACAAGATGTGAATGACTTTAAAACGACAATAGCACTATGCTTTGACAAGGTATAATTGGGTAATAAAATATTGAAAAGCTACTTATGAATCAAAGTGCAGGACTTCTTTAAAATAGTGGCCAGAAACCAGATTAGAAGATTAGTACTTAAGATGTTAACATGAAGGGAGATATGTGAAGTAATGATTCAGATCTTGCATCGAATCATTCACAATTTTGCTGGCAAGTTTCAAAACACCGTCTTCATAAAGAAAGGTAAGTGGTACCAAAGCAGTTTCTGAGTCGGTGAGTAGAGCAACAAGTGCAGCGTCGTCTGCAAACTTGACAGTGGAACAGTAGGCATGGGTACTTTTGCAGTCATTGGAGTAGATAGTGAATAAAACAGGTGACCGGACACAGCCTTTTGGGGCTCCAGTGCTGATATGCTTCATGTGGAATGGACAATGATTAACAATGACAAGCTGAGTTCTTTTTCGGAGAAAACTGGCAATCCATTTAATGATAAACCTATTTGCAGAAAGATCTAAAAGTTTTTGAATCATTAAATGTAGCTGTATTTTATAAAAAGCAGATGAAAAATCTACAAAAAGTACACGTGCATAGAATTTGGGTGTTTCTGAAAGTTCATATATTCTGCTCAGGAGGCTTATTGTTGCATGTTCTACGTCCCGCTTTGACCTGTAATCAAACTGAAGCGGGTCAAACTTGCCTCTGACGTCAAGGAGTAAGAACTGCTTAACAATGCGTTCAAAACATTTCATTGTGATTGACGAGGGCTACCGGTCTATAATCGTGAATTACTTGGCTTTCTAGGGAATGGGGATAATGTGAGATATTTTCAACTGATTGGGAATCTGAATCAAGGTAAAAATGTATGTTAAAGACATAGTATAATATTTGTGAAAACGGCATAATTGTTTGGTTCAATTTGTGCAATTCTTAATAAAAGAAAATATTTTTTAGATTATGGGACGTTTGATGAATTCGGAAGGTTACTGACAAATGTCAAGCCGTACACGTCAGACTCCAACAAACTCAAGATGAACCACCCCCTCATGATAATGGTAGGTAGAGTAAACAGGTGTGTTGATAAAAGTTCCCCTCAACTGTGATGAATGTACCACTGAAAGGCGATGAATGTACCACTGAATGGTGATGAATGACCAACAGAATGGGGATGAATGTACCACTGAATCGGAATGAATGTACCACTGGGCGGGGATGAATGTACCAATGGACGGGGATGAATGTACCACTGGACGGGGATGAATGTACCACTGAATGGTAATGAATGATCCACTGAATGAAAATGAAAGTACCCCTGAATGGCCACGAATAACCAACTGAATAGTGATGAACGTCCCACTGATTGGTGATGAATGATGCACTAAATTGTGATGAATGACCCTCAGAATGTGATGAATGTACCACTGCATGGGGATGAATGCACAACTGGGCGGGGATGAATGTACCACTAGGCGGGGATGAATGTACCACTGGACGGGGATGAATGTACCACGGAATGGGGATGAATGTACCATTGGACAGGGATGAAGGAACCACTGGGCGGGGATGAAAGTACCACTGAATGGTAATGAATGATCCACTGAATGAAAATGAAAGTACCCCTGAATGGCCACGAATAACCAACTGAATAGTGATGAACGTCCCACTGATTGGTGATGAATGATGCACTAAATTGTGATGAATGACCCTCAGAATGTGATGAATGTACCACTGAATTGGGATGAATGTACCACTGGGCGGGGATGAATGTACCACTGGACGGGGATGAATGTACCACGGAATGGGGATGAATGTACCATTGGACAGGGATGAAGGAACCACTGGGCGGGGATGAAAGTACCACTGGGCGGGGATGAATGTACCATTGGACAGGGATGAAGGAACCACTGGGCGGGGATGAAAGTACCACTGGGCGGGGATGAATGTACCACTGGACGGGGATGAATGTACCACTGGGCGGGGATGAATGTACCACTGGACGGGGATGAATGTACCACTGGGCGGGGTGAAACTTGGGTTAGATAGATTACAGTGTTGTTGTTGACTCTGCAGGTGACTTTGAGTCGAAAGGGCCTGCTGGCTCATCCTCTCGTCGTGTCCGTGTTGAATCACAAGTGGAACACATTCGGCAGTGTCTTGTACTACCTCTCCTTTCTCTTCTACCTGGTGTTCCTGACGTTCCTTACGGTATACATCGTGTTGACCCGACCACCATATAACTTGTAAGTGCATTACCCCATAGTATCCTCGTTTAACCATACCCAAAACTAGATTATCTACAGGCTGGTGTTCTATGAAGCTGATATATTGCTGACTGGCATTAAATAAAAAACAAACAGGTACTGGCACTCCCCACCACCATGTTCTAAGTTAGTGTTTGGAAACAAGCTATTACAGAAGCCATATTGGAAATGAAAGTTTGGCCCATTCATGGAGCATATATTAGAGCAATCTATCTGTGACTAGCAGTGATTGGATGTTAAAACGTTTACATAGGAAATTCTTCAATATTATAATTTAGTTTGAAATAATCTTTAGGACATTTCAGACAATGATCAGTCATTTAAAACAAATGGGAACTAGTCTGAATCCCTGGACTGGAAGGTTCCTGATCATACAGCGCCATTGTCAGTCTCTTTTCCCCCATCAATCTACCATTTGAAAACTGTACTCCAATAATCCTGAAACAATCAGTATTTTGGGACAAAACTAACTTCACGCTTAGTACGCTTGTGAAAACGGAACGTCTGTATGGTAAATAAGTAAATACTTACCACCTGCTATGTACATTGTGTTTGATGTGTTACCGCGGGAGCTTGTGGTCATAGCATTTATTATGATGTATAACAAAACATAAACAGAAAATAGGACCTGTCATTATTCATGTGATGAAGTGGCCCCTTCTCTACATTGACCAAGGTGGTTATTTTTATGTTTCAGTAATAACACTGATGCCGCTGCCATTTCCTCGGGATCATGTGACCAGCTGACTACAGTCTATCCACAACTTTTAATTGCTGTCAGAGCTAAAAATGTCATCATGGTATTAGCTGTCTTACACTTGTTGAAAGAGGTGAAGTTATGTTGGATCTTTCCTGAATTTGTCCTTCATTCCCTGGATTGGTTTGACAACGAATCCCAATATCCCTCAGATATATGTTTGCATCTCTTTATTCAGGGGTTCATGACAATTTGTCATAAATGAAAGCATAAGTCACCCCCACCATCACCGATTAACCATCCACTTTTAATGGGTCTCCAGGTCCAATAATTTGGCTACATCATAATCACACGTACTTCACATCAACCTGAAACTCGCCATACTTTCACTTGTGACCTTTTCTTGGAAATATTCACTTGAATTATCTCTGTCAATACATTCTGTGTGTCTTATGAAATCCCATATATACAATGTAAGAATATTTGTTTCAGCTGCTACAAATCTATCAAGCCAAGCTGTCGTACTTCAGCTGGACGAATCTGATTGAGTGGATTACTTATGTCTCAGCTCTACTCCTCGTTATTGACTTCAATGACTGTCAGAAGGAAACAGGCTTCAGATTGGTGAGGATGAGGATGTCATTGTAGGAGTTCGTGTTATGTAAGATCTGGGGGTATGGTTGACCTAGACATCTACAGTACACAAATACGCAGTGCAAACATTAGTCCCTGGGCCTGCCAGATTCCTAACATCTTGGGTTTAAATCTCACATTCGCCTGATTGTGATTCTGTGCTTGTCAGCATCATATCCAAGCTTGTCGGCATCTTATCATGGGTGTCACCAAATTTGAAAACGTCTAAGACCTGCATCACTTCTGGCTTTCCTCCAAGACTAAACAACAGGCAGTGATATGACCGCAAAACTGTTCAAATAATGAAAACGTGACAAAACCCATTTCCATATTCAAAAGAAATATCTACCAATAGCAGAGTCCATTATACGATTCCAACTATGTCATAAGCATGTGTTTATGAATCACTATCAATTAGGGATGATACCAAGTATTCGCAAATCGAGAGCATATCCTGCCACACTGGTGTCACCCATCATAAACACATGCAAGGGTAGTCAATTGTTCGCCCGAAAAAAAACCACGGGAACATATGGTACAAGTCATAATAGGGAATTGCATCGGATATCATTTTCGTCACTGATGCGTCAAATTTGGAAAGGTTCTCCACATGTCTACCATAAAACATTTTGAAAGCTTTACAAAGGCCTTGAATGCTGTAACCTTTTTAAAACAACTTCGAGAGCAAGAGTCTTATGACACTCTTTGAAATCTTCGTAGAAAGAGCATGCTCGATTGTACCTCAAATTTTGTGAAATATAGGCACCAAAGGCCGAAGCTGCTGGAATATTGCTCGACATAAAGGAATGGTTGGCTATTGGAACGTTGAAGTCATCCTTCGTTTTGTGGAGAGTTTTTTCTTGTTGTCATTTTGAGTATTAATGCATAGGTCTAAATATGAAACAGATGAGTTGCATTCACCTGTGTCTTTTATTTCTAGTCCAGGTGGGTAATTCAGTGGAAATTGTATGGAGCTTTGGAATCCAGAACAAAAGAGGAATGGACACGTGTTCAGGTTTAAGAGTTGATAGTACTGATGCGTGGTTTTGGCAGATTTCTTCCTCAGTTAACATTCTGACCTCATAGTTACTGTCCTTGTATGTGGCATCATGTGACAAGTCACTTACACCAAAATCTTTTATACAAACATTAAATGTAGTGATGCTCATATAAAGGTTATGTTATTTGAGGCCTTGTCAGTGGGAATAACCACAATTTTTTCATGTAGGGCATCCCAGACTTTGGATGAAAGTTGGCTGGGACAGAATGGGTTTATTCCAGCTCTGTTTCCTCTTTTTCGAGTTGTGAATTCTACCAATGACAACATCACGCACTGACTTAATCTACTCCGAAAGACATTCAACCGATTAATCTTTTCTTTTGGGCCAATTTTTGGCATATGCTTCGACAGCATCCATGATGATTATTAAAACGTGAGCCCAATGTTTAGGAGCTGCTCGTGATATTGGTTCATATTTGAATAAATGACAAAGGTTGTTATTGTCAACAAAGGAAAAGTTACCTGTGATTATAAGACCAACAGGTTAGTAGAAGTATGATGAATTTTGGCAGTCACAAGTAGCGGAATTGAAATCATTAGCTGCCAAGTCCACGTTCTGACATGATGTGGCAACTGTCATGAGCCTGCAACAAGCACATGTTTTTTCTTCACAACAAGAGCTGACTTTTTGTTTCTAGGACTGGCAGTGGTCCTTGGGGGCTGTGTCTGTGTTCCTGGCGTGGATGGTGCTGGCGCTGTTCATGCAGAAGTACCCCATGTTTGGTATCTTCATCGTCATGTTTACAGAGGTCTTCGTCACCGTCATTCAGGTCTTCGTCGTCTTCTTCCTCTTCATCGTCGCCTTCTCACTCGGCTTCTACACCTTGTTCCAGAATCAGGTTGGCAAATAATCTATCCTACATTGTATCAAAGCTGAGAATTGCAAAGCAAATTTTAAAATACTATTAATGATGTTGAATGTCGTTTCAGATTGCGTTCCAAAATGTCCCGAGTGCAATGATCAAAACAGGAGTCATGATGATGGGCGAGATTGATTTTAATTCCATATTCAATGAGCAATGGAAGGCAACATCAGTTGAGGCAGCAGACAAAAGTGATCGAGTCTTCTTTCCTGAAGCTTCCTATCTTCTCTTCGTTATCTTCCTCATCCTCATGTCAATCATCGCCATGAACTTGCTCGTGAGTAAAACATGGCAATAACTCAAATGGCTATGATTAAGGTTTTATCAAATGGTTATTGCTAGGTTCTTGTACAACTTGATGGAAAGAACAGATTTATGGATTTTGATAGAAATTGTTTAGAGATCCATCGACTCTTAAACATTGAAACCCGAATTAATAAAACTATTAAGCAGTTTATTTTTGTATTCCGCGAAATGCTTTTCATGTTCAGCGCCATATTTATAACTGTGCATACAATACTTTTAATTGCAACACTTACGAGACGGATTTAACGAATACCGCACACATGTAAAACCTCTCACATGAGAGAAAAATTGATAGTTGTGACATTGCATTCAGGCAGTAGGCAGCTTTAATACATTCCTCTGTAGCTAATCCTTTTGTAGCTAATCTGATCATTCATCCCAGTCCTTCTTAGCAGAATAAAATTGTGTATTCCAAACTTGTTAGGAATGCCAAGATTTTCTGAGGGAATGACAATGAAGTTTTTTGTCACTCCTTAAAAAACATTCAGTTGTCACCACGACGTTAACGTCAATAAACATGACGCCGCCGAAATATCAGACATTAGGTTGGAGACACTAAAACATATGTAGTAATTTAAAAAGAATATATGTTTGGTTATACTTGTCATATAACAAGTTATCATCGTGTGGCCTGGCAAAGTAGATAATTTGTCTCTTAATGTCGCAGAATGTGAAAATACCTGTTCACAGTTCTGTCAGACCACTCAACGAAATAAACAAACTTCCCTCTATACAGTTACATGTCTGTCTGTCCCTCCCAGGTTGGTTTAGCTGTAGATGATATCCAGTCTGTGCAGGGTCAGGCTGCCCTCAAAATAATGGCTATGCAGGTAGGTGGCATATATCGGCAATGAGGTGGATTAGCCATTTCAAGAATGAACATAGCAATACTGGAAAATAAAACATTTGTTCCACTGTTTGTTTGTTAGTTGTTAACGCAGCAGTCAACAATATTCCAGCTACATCACAACGACCTGTAAATAATTTAGCCTGGTCCTAGTGATTTATAGTATGAGCAACATCCTAGCTTAATTGCGACCTCTTCCTACAGTGAGAATCCATACAGTCCTCTCTCGATGTATCTCTTAGATAATGTGAATAGATACATTGATACATGCTGTGTTTTTGTTTACAACTAATACTTCTGCACTAAACATCTCGTATCATCACTATTGGAAAGTGATTCACAAACATGATATCGTGATATAGTCCGAATCCATTGACTCTTGATACCTTCATAATAGGTATTGGGACATTCTGACAGAACTGGGTACTTTATGTTACGTTGGTAAGGTCTCCGATGGCTGACCAGGCGACTTGGTGGATCGTGTGGTCATGGGTTCGGTGACTTGGTTTATTGTGTGTCATCACTAGATTGTCTGATCCAGACTAATTTATTTACAGACTTCCGTCAACTTGTTTTAAATAATCTGAATTATTATATGTATCTGTGTGTCGCAATATGAAACAGAAGGGCCATGCCTTTTATTCACGTGAAGTTGTCATCGTGGTCTGTCAGATGGATATAATACAACTGATTCTGTATTCTTTCTGTAGGTTGACTTGGCATTGGACGTAGAAAAATCCCTGCCCGACTTCATTAGGCGGAAGACGTACATCCGATGCAGAACGTTGACACCAAACAAGTGGCTTGGTAACCCATTTCGGAGGCTGTTGAACTACCAGCATTCCAGGTCTGCTCAGGCCATTCAGAAGGCTCTCAATCCAGAGCTGGTGAGTAGAGAGAGAGAGAGAGCTGTCGTGTTTCCCTGTTGAGTAAAGTAGGTTCAGAGCCCTCCTTGCATTTCATTACCGCATCTGGGGAAAAACATTGACAGGGGAATAAATGTTTTGAAAACAATTAACCTAATTTACATGAACTGTTTTATCTGCTTGTAAAGGCCCTTATAATCTTACGTTACATTCTGACTGAAATTATAAATAATGAGGCATGCTGAAAGATGGTTGATTCATGACATGTGAATATTCTTCCTCAGAATGAGGTTCAGAAGGGCCAGGAAAGAATACAAGGGGACATAACGAACATAAAGATAGTCGTGAAGGAACTCCAAGAACAGATGTCCCAGATTGAGAGCATGTTGCGAGTCAGTGCAACACTGTCCAAACACACCAACAGGCAGGACGAGGACCAAGAGGAGCAGCAGACTTAGAGTTGCCTCCCCTGGCAAATATGGATGATCTCCTTTGCCGGATTATCTCTCTTGGTGATTGTCAGTTTTGAAAACATTTGAATACTTGCCAAACGAAACATTGTTGGAAAAACATATTGTGTATTGGGCGGAAGTTAGCTACCCAATTTTAAAGCCAGATTTCATTTTGAAACATTGATCAGCTTTTATCAAAATTTGGAAATATCTTAACAATTTACTGCAGTGCAGATTTGAACAATGCAGTGTATTTTGTTGCATGTACTTTAATATGAGAAGTGTTAGCCTAGATATCATAAAGATACATGCATATTCTGATTTGTGTTGATTACGTTATGAGTATGACTACAGTTCATTGGCTAAAACCCATTCCATAATCATAAGAAATATCCATAGGCCATCGTGCATGTGTTTAATACTCTCATTCTCACTAATGATCATGAGGTGCAATTGAAGTGTCCATACATGGACAAACTGAAGAAGGCAATTTATGTAAACTTGTGTTTTAGATCTTCAGCAGTGTTCCGAAGATGAAACTAACAACACTCCTTTGTTCTTCTGAAATTCCTAGCTTGTCAGCGAAAAGTGAAATGTGCATAATTTTCGAACAATACTGAAAACATTGTACACGTGCATCACGTCTGTTAACATGGCGCCCTTTTTACTTTCCAATTATTTTCATTTTTTTAAAGAAATACGAAAGGGAAACACAATTATAGTAATCTATTACACTCAGAAAAGCAAATGTCTCATTATTGAAACTAATTTCTTTATTGGGAACATTTTACGTATGACTTCGATAAGCATGTATCTTACCACTGACTCACAGTTCGACATTGACACAATGCATGATAATTATTATCAACATATGTTATGAATGAAATACAGTGCTTAAGATATATTAGTTCTTTTGAACCATATTGTTACGTGATACTTTATGCTATGACACGTAAACATTGAGTTTTTATCAATATTTCAATATGAGTGTGTTTCGCCTCTTATGGAGTGAAAGCTATATATTATACTTTCAGTTTTAGAATGATAAAAGGACATAAAATACAAATCAGGACAAATATAGAATAGAATATTGGTTGAAAAAGTACCACCAGCTACTCATTTAAAGCAGTATTAGGTAACGTGTGTATCAATAATTAAAAAAACCCTTAATATCTGAAATGCCAATAAGACATCGTGGAGAAAACTGTCACCAGTCTATCAACTAGTCTTTCAAGAACAACAGAGGTTCACATATCCTTACCTCTAATCACCATTAGAGTCACAGCATACATTGTATTTCCGGATGCTGTATGTATCCGATACTCGTCACATTTCTCGTCTATCCATTTCTACTACTTGAACACTGCTTGAACTTTATCTGTCCACATATTATCAGTAGTAACTGGGATTTTGTCGAAGAAAAGACATTGTCCACATTAATTCTTGACAAGGGTAAACAGGCTTCGGACTGTTGAAAAAAAATTGCCTGCCACACAAATTACATTGTTGCAAGGTTTTTTCTTTACAGGAATCAGGGTCAAAGTTTTAAAAAATACTCTGGTTTTGTAGCTGTTGCTGAAAAATATACATATAATCTCGATACAAAATCCCAAATACCCACCAGAATATCAAATGATCGGCCCCTTAGGGTCAATCAAAGAGTGAAGGTACCAGGTATTTGCGTGGAACTGGCACATCTGTGAGTTAAGATCTGTACATATTTCTATCATGTAGAATCATTTTGAGTGGATTTCTCGCAATTGAACCTTTGTTGTATATATGTGTACTTTAATATGAGAACCTCATGTGGGACAAAATGTTGGCTTAAATGTCCAAAACTTTCTTCAGATTTGTGTTGATCTCATACAACTCTCATCTCAGTAAGAGTAGGACCAAAAAGAACCAGCTGTGTACTTTTAGTCAGGTTGTGTACTGTCCATCATGTCCATCATGTCGATTCATGGAGGGGATTTCTGTCGAAGTGCTCAACGTTCACCTCCTCCCTAAATGAATCAAAATGTAAATATACATTTTTTCACCCAACATCTTAGAAACCTATTTGCATTTCAACTTTTCAATCCATGATTGTACAAGATAAAGTCTGGCTGAATGCAATAGCAGCAGCTTCAACAGAACAGTTAGTGAATCGTGTTGTCAAATTTGCGACTATGTTAACGTATTAAGCTCATGTATATTGACTTGCTCCTGGAATTAGCTGCTTTCAGTTGTCCATGCATGTCAGCATTGTCTACCTGTCGCCTGGTTAGCGCCTGTTATCTATTGTTACTGGTCAGTGTTGTCTATTCTCTAAATACGATCTCTCAGAATGAAATTTGTATTGAAACACCTTGATTTTTCACATGACTCCAACTCAGCAAGTATCACAAGTACAGTAAACTATGGTTATAACGAACACAAAGGGACCACCAGTTATAGTTTGTAACCATTGTTCGTTATAAGCATATACAGCATATATACAACAAATGACAGGGACTAAAACTTAAGTTCGTTATATCGGTCAGTTCGGGTTAAGCGTGTTTGTTATAAACGTAGTTTACTGTAATTAGAATCATATTAATGTATGTTACAGGCAGTCAAGTCTTTAGCTCAGGATTCTTATTGTACATGGAGCTGATGAAATCATGCTTGGAACGGCTTTGTCTTAACCTCTCTTATGTTGTTATGGGGGACCACGTGTTTAAGTCATGAAAATCAAATCAGGGACGCATTGATTCATTGCCTGGTGCAACATGGGAAAAAACCAAATAGATTATAAATTATTTATCCTATTCAGAAATGGAACTTAGCAATATACTGATGCATTCAGTAACAGCATAATGAAGCAGGGTGTGGAGTCAGCCCACATATGGCAACCCTTACCTTGTCAAAAGGGTTAAACTCTTTGGTCATGTGAACGAAGATTACAACCTTAGATGAGAAGGTCCGTGATTCAAATCCCAGCAAACGACTTGAAAATGTTTTTGGCGTTGCATGTTTGATTGAAGTAAATCTAGTAAGTGACACTTGTTGGAATATTTATGTTTACGCAGATGTGATCTGATAACTTGTACAATCTTAAACACATTTTGAACACATTTTGATAATTTGTATAAGTCTGTCTGCAGGTGTCATTGATCAGATTTACTTGTTTATTTGTACATTTGTAACCTGAGCCAGTGATAAATGGTGCCATTGTTTATAGTGCAATGTGAGGTGTAACAACACCCGTCATGCGGGGATGTTGATACACACAATTATTTGATATTGTTAACAGTTATACCCTTGTTAAAATAAATAATCAAGTATGTAAATATATTAGAATATGTACTTTTTAGTACCTCTCGAGAATGTTTTCTCCTTATTTTAACAAGCTATGTGATAATATCATAAGTTCATCTTCTAAAAACTCCTAACCATTTTCTGGAATATATAGATATTTCATGATCATCACATTAATGCTCAAGCGATGTAAAGAAAGTGACATTTTTCTGTAGATACTCATATTGCATATTGTGTGTGCAGAGTTGCAGATTTCAGACGTGTGGGGATGGGGGGGGGGGGGGGGGGGGGGCGTATATATTTTCTCTAAATTGTTTAGAATATTTATGTAACTTTGTGCTCCAATCTGAAATAAGATTTCTGGATTTATGGCCAAATTTATGTGGTAAAGATTTTGTTGTCAGTTGATAAAAATCTGAAATGTTTCGTGAAAGTCCAGAGTGACATAGGTCAAGGAAGACGTGGCTTGATATTTCTTGAACATAATGACAGAAAACAGTATTTTACGTTAACTGTCACCCACACGGAACTGTCATCCACGTCACCCAAAAATATACGTGTATCATTTTGTATTGACTTCGTGATACAATACTCATATCATGGCAAAGAGTAGCGCAATGCACTGAACATGAGGTTAGCGTTATACCCCTAGTTCAAGCCGTAAACTAATCATATTTATGTACCTACACAAAAACAGTAAAATAAAAACAAATAAGTATTAATCATTCCAGACTGCGCCGTTGTGATATTGTGGAATTCGGAAAAGCCGAATGTTTTCAAACTCCTAGGGCTGTTTGGGCACTTTTAGTTTAATAATAACGTTCAATAAAATGGTTGCATTGGTTGATTTAAGTGAAAATATAAGCTAAATGAAAAATTCTTGTTTGTTTTTTATTGAGGTTGTGATTCGTGTACAATAGATTGAAGATTTAGTTGTCTTACTGGTTTAAGAAAGAAATATCTGTGAGCTCGTTGGCAGTGCATGATGTAACGCAGCGGAACACGTTGTCTTTTGTAAAACGTCCTATGTCCTTGCACGTGCAGCACATATTTGGATGCATCTGGTTGCTTTACAAGAAACTTATATGTGTTAAATGTTTTTGTTGCATAATATTAGGAAAACGATCGACATACACTCTTCAAAAGAAGAAACGCACAGGTAGATTTTTAGTAAATTTATGCTACCTAAGAGATGTATTTAATTTAATAACATAGATACAAATATGAAATTTTGGAAGTTGAAGAATTTGACTCATGTAGCGATTTGCTGTCAAATTCCCCTGAACCACATCCAAGTCAGATCTCGTGGTGTAGGATATGGCCCCGCACACCATGACACTACCGCAACCGAATTTGTCGAATGTACTCGTACACGATGTGGGACAAAACGCTCATTTCGACGAGATTAAACAGGTTGTCTTCCACCTCGCCGGTGAAGAAGAAACCGTGATTCATCGCTAAACCACACTCGTCTCTAGTTTCTCAAATTCCATGGCACCAACGCTCATTTTGCTTTACTGTTTTCCTCCATGACATTTTTTAACAAGTGTGAAAAAAATGCCGTTTAAGACATTTCAAATCGACAATGGCTGCGTTTTGACGCACAGTTTGTCGAATATCAGGCCACCAACATTTTCCAATAACATATATCCAATTTATATACCGGATTTTTGTGTAGTCGGGTTCAATGAACTAAATACTACCTGTGCGTTTCATTTTTTGAAGAG